CATGCAACCTGACAGCAAGTAAAAGAAGACCTTGTCCTCATCTCTGCAATGGCAACTGCTTTTTAAAATATCTATCCAAGACAAGAGGACCTCTCTGTCCATCACATTACTCCACTCTTGCCGTTTCTTCCCAGACTAGAGGCACTCTTGGATGTGGTCTGGGAAGAAATCCACATTTACCCAGTGAGTAAAGGGGAGGATTATTCTGGAAGGTGACAACTCTCATCTGAAATGTTTACTACCATCTTGGAAGTGAAAGCCCCATTAGGGTTTGAATGGACCAAGTGAAACAAGGATACAGGTGGAAACTGTTCTGGTAATCCCAAAACTGAGGGTAGGTTTTACTGATAGTGAATACTTATTTACTTACACATTTATTTCACATGGTAAATTTCTTTTTATCAGGGATCATTTTGTAAGGGCTAAAATTGTTTCTGTGCAGAAGTTACTACATGCATCATCTACAGCTGGACTATAAAAGAGATCCAAGGATAAGTCTTTCCAAAGAGCCTCTTTAAGGGTGATATGATAAAAACAAAAACAAACAAAAAGAAAACAAACAAAAAAAGCTATGGGGAGCGTCTAATACAAAGAAGTGGCAATACTGGAGGAAAGAGGGGGAAGGAATGATCTTGAGCCTCTCAGCAGTTTTGCTTACATGGCAAACAAGCAAATCATAAGAAATCACAAGGCAGTATTTTGTTCAACAAACATTTAGTGTCTTTATGCAAGAGATGCCATGAATACAAGACTGAATAACTGCCTGGAGGCTTAGATATGTGAGTCACCCAAACGACTTAAAACTATGTGATCCCACTAGACTAGAGGTATGGCTGTGCTCGTGACCTAACCAGCCACGGGGAATCCCAGAAAAAGAAGTGGAGGTTTGAGTCGCTACCCACCATTCTGTGGACTTCTCAATTTTCCCAACACCCGACATTGTCCTCCCAAATCCCTAACTGAACCACCAAATGATTTCCCTGTCATTGAGACATGGCTTCATTCTTTTACTCATCCAACAAATAATTACTGAGTACCTACTTTGAGCCCGGTACTGTGAAAGGCACCAGGATCTGTTTGATCCAGGTCTAGTGACCCATTTATCCCAGGCCTCATATTCATGAAGTGTTTATAAAGTACATTTGTTAGATTATACAAGTGATATCAAATATATAGTGACAGATACACTTATAGGATTAAACTTCAAAGCACATTATAATTTTTATAATCTTGTTTTGGCAATTTTCAAAAATATATACAAGTCTCCCCATGGTGACATATCATCCACGGAAGTTATCCAGGTCTCTCTCAGTCACCGTGGGTCCCACTGGACATTCAAGAGAGGACTGCAAACAAGCCAGCTGTTACACTGTGCTCACGGAACTTGGTGCTTAGTGGGGAAACAGTTATCAAATAAGAACACACATCCAATGAATAACGAGTTATCCAGGGGAGGAGAGTGGCATGGCGTGAGGCTGCACTGGCAAGCAGAGTTTTCACTTTTAGCTGAAGCATTTGAATTTTTACTATAAAGACATATATAAAGACACATGCCATGTGCTACTTGTAGAGTCATTATAAATTTCTACATCAGGCACATCATGAAAAGAACAGCCAAGAAGGGGACTACAAGACCATGAGAGAGGCTGACCCCAATGTGGGAGGCACTGAGAATGAGCAAAACGCCAAGTTGGAGCTTCAGACTTGGTCTGGAGCTCAAACAGCTGCACACAACTTTGTGGTGACCATGGGGGAGGTGCTGCCAGGCATGGGTGCAAGGCTCCCCATCTCAGAGCTCTCTCCTGGGCTCAAGCACCTTCTGACCCCACAAATGGAATGAGCTTTCAGCTATTGTGTAACATGGATGATTGATATGTTACTCTCACCTTGGTTTGAAACTTGCCTTCTCATGGAGAGCAATAAATCTTACCAGAAAATACTAAATGCCCCTGAGCTGAATCACAGCAATCCTGTCTAGACTGAAATGTCTCATCTTCATTTGTCAAGCAAATTGTGTCTTGACCATTATTGTGCACCTGGTAAGCCCCATTGGCTTTATACAGTTCCATCAGCAACAGGGCAGCCCCTGCTAAACAGCTTTCTCTCTGAGGAAAGCCTGGCCACATACAAACGATCTCAAGGCATGCTAGAGAAATAAGAGCAAATATCATGGAAACATCATTAGGTATATCAACACACTGACTGCTGATGGTAGATGGAACAGTCCAATTCTGTACCAGACAAATTTGGGGAAAAAAATGTTTCCTTACACTGTTCTTTTTTATTTTCCTGATGATATTTTGAGATATACTCACATGACATGGCTCTTATAAAACAGATGCAAGACCAATGACTGATCATCCAATAATGCTTCTAATCAGAGCAATTGTGTGTGTTTGTGTGTGTGCGTGCGCGCGTGTGTGTGTGTGTGTACGCATGAATGCACACATGCAATACTTTCTTAGTTTGGCAGGTGCCTCTTTGGAGCATGCAGTTTTTAGGGCTGTGTATACAAGCAAAGTCAGCACAGAGTAATGCAACTGAATGTACCTCTGCACGAGGTAGACAGCTAGCTGAGGAAAAGTTTCCTAGAATGGGTTTCATGTCTTAGTTCTACTCTAAGACCTCACTGGGAATCTGTATGGTAGAGAGGGTTACTAGGTAAAATATGGGGCACCTAGTTAAATTTGAATTTGGGGTAAACAATGAGTGATTGTTTTTTAGTATAGGTACTTTCCAAATATCGCATGGGTGTTATTTTTATTTGCAAAATCAGGCGACCCTGACAGCTGAAGAGGGAAAGACATGCATGTCAATCACCTTTGTCATGAATATTGTCACCATCAGCATCAGTTAACATTTACAGCACATGGGGATGAGGTCCATGCTATAGGGAAGACCTATGAATTACTCCTGCTGCCTAAAAGACTCAGAATGTACCTACTTCTTCAATTGTGGCCTCCTTGAGATCATGGGCTATACCTTAGTGCTCCATCTTTAAGACCAGGCCTGGTGACTGGCATGTGGTACTAGCTAACAATAGAGTTTTGAATAAATGAGGATATGGTATGGAATGGTTATAAAAGGAAGAAATACGGGGTGAGCAGGATAAAATGACAAAACGGTACATGGCAGAAAATACAGGGAACCTCCAAATCTGCAGCCACCTCCATCACCTATGAGAAGAACCTCTTAGCAGAGCAATTCAACTGAACAGTCTCTTAGCTTGGTCAGTAAGACTGAACTGTCTGGAATAAGTGCAAAATAGTCTAGGCATTCTGAGTGGGTAGGGGAGGGGGAGTATGCAAAGCTGGGAAATCAACATTTATACAATTATCCATTTTAAAACATTTTTTTAAATGTTTATTTTTGACAGAAAGAGCATGAGCAGGAGAAGGGGAGAGGGAGAGGGAGACACAGAATCTGAAGCAGGCTCCAGGCTCTGAGCTGCCAGCTCAGAGCTCGACGCGGGGCTCAAACCCATGGACACCTCATGACATGAGCCAAGTCAGACATCTAACCAACTGGGCCACCCAAGAGCCCCTACAATTATCCATTTTTTAATTTTTTTTTTTCTCAACATTTTTATTTATTTTTGGGACAGAGAGAGACAGAGCATGAACGGGGGAGGGGCAGAGAGAGAGGGAGACGCAGAATCGGAAACAGACTCCAGGCTCCGAGCCATCAGCCCAGAGCCTGACGCGGGGCTCGAACTCACGGACCGCGAGATCGTGACCTGGCTGAAGTCGGACGCTTAACCGACTGCGCCACCCAGGCGCCCACAATTATCCATTTTAAAAAGCCATAATGAAGGGGACAAAGCACAGTAAAAGCCCACAAGAGGGACAAGCAGTTCTGCCTGGGACAGTGTAACAGGTTTTAGGTAGAAGAAGTTACGTGAAATACATAAGCAGGTATGATCCTAAGAAGTGCTTTGTACTTTATAGACTCTGTATGTATGTTTAATCACAAATATATGTAATATACAAGCATACATACTATTATTCAAAAGTTGCAAGAATAGTACATTGAACTCCCACATACTCTATATTATTCTACGTAACTGGAACTGAGTCTTCAGGCAAATTCATATTTCCTTTGGAAGTACCCTAGAATGGAGATGTTTAAATAAATAAAGTAGTACATACTGATCACATTGCAAATACATAACAATTTTTCTTTTTTAATGTACGTTGTTTTAAAATTTGTTTTACCTTATTAAATAAGAAATACTTGCTGACTACAGAAAACTAAAAAACAAAAAAAACAAGGTCATTTAAAAAATGCAAAAAATAAAAATCACTAAAAATAAAAATTATTTTTCTAGTCATAGAAAACATTTGTAGCATATACACGTCTAGATTTTTTCTGCACATATATGCATATTAGGTATTTAACAAATATGCTATCAGATTCTATATACTACCATGTTAACTTGGTTTTAAGCTACAAAGTAAATTTATCCAAGTGACGAAATATTTAATGCTTGCACAGAAATTTTCTACTGATGAATTACTTAACCAACTACCTACTGCTGCACAAATTGTTTTCAGTTTTTTTCTGTGATAAACTTCCTGACAGCTAAGTCTTTAAAGATGCCCATCATTATTTCTTGGGGATGAATTCCCAGAGGGAGAACTTCTGAGTCAAACATTAGACACATTTTTAAGGCTTTTGATACATATCATCATTTTGCTCTCTAGGAAGGTTGTGTCAACTTATAATGTTATAATTATAAAATATAAAAGGGCTCATTTTCCAAATTATTTTTCCAAGTTAGTCACCTCATAAAATCTGTGAAATCAGAATTTGGAGACAGCACATGTAGAGTAATATAAGTAGCAAGTTTTCTTCTCAGAGGAAACCTGTCCAAAAAGCCATGATTTTAAAAAATCCTACTTGTCCACAGTTTGCCTTTAGTCCAACCAACTGGTTTAGATAAGAACTTTTAAAGTTAAGTTTTTAAAGTCTGTCATATTTGTGGAACTGTGTCTGCTTACTATTCTAAAATGACTTTATCAAAAACGAATACATTTCTTTTTTAAGGTGATAATTAAGCCAGACTTGTTTAATGACATCCCATTCACTTTCCTGGACAAAGGAATGCATTTGCCTTACTTTTTCCATAACCAGAAGAAGGTTATTTTTGGTCAAAGTGAAAACCATAAATGGTGGATAGCTATCATTATCCCGGTAATAGTGGTCCAGGTGTGAAGTACCTCCGCAGGGAAAAGCAAACAGGAACAAACAAAAACCTTTCCAGCATCCAGAACCTCCAAATAAGAAGAAAAGATAGCCAAGCAGAAGTTTTAAAATGCTGCCTAAACCATACCTAAAAAAGGAAAATGCATGACACTACAAGAGAAAAGCTAATGAAGCAGAAAAATACTTCCCACTATACAACTCCCTAGAGGACTATGACAGGTATCAGAGGTGTGTGAAATGTTTGACAGCCATGGGAAGCACTGGTTTGGGTTTAACTAAAGGAAAGGATAGTTGGAGAGTGCCAACATTTTCTACTGACAAAAGAAAACCAAGCCAGTTTTCTATTCTGTTAAGTTCCATGCTCAGTTGACCAACTCTGTTTTCATCTTTTCTGAGACCCACGAAAATAGAGTAAAAAGAGAAAATATCCAAATATAGAAGCTGAATTTAACAAGATTAGAAAAACCTAAACTATGTTATGTTCTGGTAGACTTGCAATCAAATAATTACAGTCATTTGGTCAATGTCTGATTAGTTCAATGAGAGAAGATGTTTGGCTATACGACCAGATACCAAAAAACAAAACAAAACAAAACAAAACTATTTTTTTAAAGGATCACTCTCTCTACGTAATAATCAATCGTGTTATGACAATTTTGTAATACTGGGATGGGTCATCCAAGCAACTAAGGAAATGGTAATGCTTTGCTCACTTTAAAGAAAAAAAAAAATCAGCATTTCCAAAGTTGGCATAGTCACACAAAGTCAAAACAAGCCTCAGAGGCAAAGGAAAGGGGCCGAAACCCTGAGAACCATAAAATGACGAATGAGAAAACTCCTCCCCACGGAAGATATTCAGGTATATAAAAGGCATGTGATGGAACACTTAAGACCTAAAACATCACTGTCAATCTTGAGTCTGGATGTTTAGCTTAGGAAGAAAAAAAAAAAAAAATGAACACTAAGCCTGATGTGATTCAAAAGTGTTTGTGGCCTGCATGCCTTGTAGGTCTGTTCATCCCTGGCGCCCTCTCTCTGCACTGTAACTTGCTGCATCTTCACCTGAGGGAAGTCACCTGGCAAAATCTGAGACTTCTGAACAGCATGAGCAATTCATTTCCTGTAGAGTGCCTAAGAGAAACCAGAGCTTTTGAGTTGCCCCAAGACATCCAATCACACACCCCACCTGGGAAAAGGTACCTCAAGGAGGCCTTCTATGAAATGTCCACACAGGCCTTCAACATCTTCAGAGAGTCCACCACCAAATCCACTTGGAAAAAGAAAAACCTGAAACAAATCCAAATCAGACTTGATTGGCAGATGCACCACTTGGAAAAATGCTTCGAGGAAGAGGAGAAAGGGAAGGAAGACTCGAAACAGATGGAAGAGGATGGGATGGACTTCTCAGGAGCTATGGTCTCCCAGGTGAGCAGCCTAGAACTGAGGAGATATTTCTATAGGATGTACAACTTCCTGAAAGATAAGAAATACAGTCCCTGTGCCTGGGAGATCATCCGAGTGGAACTCAGAAGATGTTTCTACTACTTCTATAAATTAACACTACTACTCAGGAAGAAATAAGGTATATTCTTAGAATTAAAATTCCATTTCTCTCCAACAGCTCCTTCTCTTTCATCTTCTTTTTAAGAATTTTTGGGCTATTCTCCATTGGAGTGGCGGTGATTTATGCAAGGTTTAGAGTCTCTAAAGTTGGCCTTGAGACATCAGCTACCTTTCCAAGAGAGGTGATGCCAACCATCCCCTGGGTACCCTGAATCTTGTTAGAAAGTTCCGAAGTCAGTTCTAAAGGAATGAGATTCTCTTCATGTTTTTCTACTGTTTTCTTCCCCATTCCTTGTGCCATTTTGTACTCACTTTGCTCTACTACCTTTGAACTTCACCCAGCCAATGGCTAGAGGATGTAGCCCAGAGAATGTTGCAGAATGTAACACCTCAATGACTTAATCCTCCTGCTGCCAAGGCTGTTTATTGTATGAAAATTTAGCTTGTTAAAGGAGCTTACTCAAGCTATTATAAAGTTAAAACCCTCTGTGTCTCCCCCTGTCCTCAAAAAAAAAATGAAAAAAAAAAAAGTTGAAATTCCTGGCCTATTTGCTTCTCAGTTTGGTTTGTTTGAAATGATACAAAGACTTTATTATTTTAAGAGAATAAAGACCCCCAATGATATTAGATGGTTGAACTGGATGGCCATTAAGCTCTCTCATTCAACCTTTGAGAGCCAATGATTGACTCTTGCTGCGTATTACTTGATTTGGAAGGCACGGAAAATGCTGCAAAAAAGTACAGTATCTGCCTTTCATTGTTTTTCTGTTTTTTAATGCCTGAGATAAATTACCTACAGTCATACTTCGCATTGATTTTCACATTGAATTTTCCCAATTAGAACACCACTTTCTGCCTGTTAAGTAAACTAGTTATAATAACACATGACACTTTACTATAGTTTATTTTTTTAGAAGTTAATTTGTATCCAGATTACTTAGATTATTTACCCAAATTTTCTTGTGCGATCCTTCATCTATATTAATTCATCATCTAGCTGAAATTAATTTTCTCTTCCTCTCTCTCCTCCACCCCATTTCAGAAACCTGCACCGTCAAGCAAGAATTAACATAGAGATTTATGGCTACACAAATGCACAAAATGTACCTGGTTCCACCCTTCGGAAACCTTCCTGCTATTGTTTCAAAAGCAAGCTACTAAACTGTTTAGTTTCAAGATTCATTCAAGTACAGGGCTCAAATGGTAAAGCCAAATAGAGGAAGTCTTAAAAAAAACTGGGGTAAATTTCAGCCAAAAATTAAAAGTTGTGGATTATGACATACTGGTTACCAGTGGAAGGAACACAAATAAAATGAGTTAGTAAAATCCATTTAGTAAAAACAACTCCTCAACAGAGTTGTTCTAAATGAAAAAAGGGGGGGGCATAAACTGAAGAAATTGGGGCATGCACACTACAAAGCAGTAAGTATACACCTGGCATCTTCCAAGAATTTCTCTAACAATGTTTTTGCACAGTCTCCCTAATAACTCTACCGAGATCATGTCAATTATTTTAGTAATTTATGGCTGCAGTCTTGCCAAATGTCTGCCATGCTGGAGGGAAGAAAATTGGAACTTTGAGTTAATAAAGATTATCTGATTACATGGGCAGGGTCAGAAGTCAGAACAGTATGCTTTTATTAAAAGCACCTCTAAGGGACAACAGGAAAAATGCTTAATCTCATTTGTGATTAAAGAAATGCAAAAGACAAGAGCATACTTCCCTCCCATCAGTCTGGCAGAAATGAAAAACAGTGATTATAATACAGAGTGTGAGTGGGGTGCAGGATGCAAGGAAAAAAATCCTCTTGTATCTTGTTAGAGAGAAGGTAAAGCGGCACACCCTTCCTACAGGACGCTATGGCAATCTTAAATATCCTAAAAATTGCATTCAACCTAGCTGTACTATCTCCAGAAATTTATCCAAGGAAATCATTGGATAAGATTGTCCACTGGAGCCTTGCTTATAATATCCCCCTTCCTTTTGTCTTCATTTTCACTTCTCTGTATTTTTTTTTCCTACAGTGATTTGGGGGAGGGAGGGTAGTTAATTCTAAAATTAAAGAAACTGTACAAGATTATCTTCCACTACAATTATCCTGTTTTCCTTACTGGAGCAGACCAGGACAAACACTGCCCTTACACTTTGTTAATGATGCCTTTGGGCACTTCTTGGGCAACCCAGGTCTGCCTTGTTGCTCTTCTCCTGCTGCTACTGTGCAAAATTTCAAAGGAATCCTTCCTTATGCATCATTTTCATAATGAAATGTTTGTAAAGAGCCTTCCAGTGCTTCAAAGATTTTGCTTTTTGTTGCTGTTGTTGGTACCACTGGTAATATCCAGCACTTTCTGGAAGTGCTCTGTGTCCACCTTCCAGATTTAGCAGTCAACTTTGTATTTATTTGTTGAATGGAAGTCAAATTTCTATTAGGTCAGGTAAAGGATAGACTCTTAGAACTGTGGAGAGCCAAGTGCACAGCTCCCACTTAAAATGCTTGAGTGGGTACATAGGTCACAAGTGTTCAGAGGGGAGCTTCCTCCCTACCCACTCTTGGGGGAAGGATCCAAAGTTAGAGTGTAATTGAGTCTCCTTGGGAAAAGGACGAGTGGACCTCCCTCAGAAAAAGCTGGCAACATCACTGTATGTGAAGCTATGAGCATGTATAGGTTCCAACAGGTGCACAGGCTTGGCCTCCACTCACAGGCAAAACCACTCTCCCTTCGCCCTTTCGGTGACCCCCCCTTCTCAAGAGTAGCTACTTTGCTTTGACCTACTTCTTTAATACTCCCCAGTAAGAAGAAACATGATGTGTAAGCATCTAACTTGTGAGGGAAGGGACAGAAATAGGGCCACCTATAATCTACCAGGCGCACCCTCAGGGGAACTCGGAGGCAGTCCCAAGCCACTGGTTCGCAAGGACTTGGAAATCTGGGCGCTTTCCCGGTGGCATCTCTAAATGCTGAGAGGGGACCTGGGATTTAGGCATGGGAAGTCCTACCCCAAGTCAAAACTCGACGTTTAATCTGGACGAAGCCACCTAACCACTATTTCTAGGCAAAGTCTCGAGGCTTCCCGGGTTATTTCCTTCTCCATCCTGGCCTGTCCTCCGGCCCTTGGAAACTCGCAGACCCCAGAACCTCGGCATTCTGCCCACCACAAGTGCCCCGACCCTGTGCCGCTGCCCTGGAAGCGGCCCAGCCACAGGCCTTTAGGCGATTTAAATCCACTGGAACTACCGAAGGACACCCTGGTCGGGGGCGGAAGGTCGCTTCCAGTCTCGGGAAAGCGGCACCTCTCCGTGACTGCGCCCTTCGCAGCGCGCCTGGGCTGAGATCTGAGAAATGCGCCCAGGGCCACAGGCAGCCGAGGAGGCGGGGAGGCTGCAACTTTCCCTCCGCCCTCTAACCGCAGGGCCTGGGTGCGGCGGCCTCGCGGGGGTCAGGCTCCTCTCCTTCCACGGTCGGGATCCCCAGCGGGAGGCGGCCGTGTGGGCTGGAGGGGAGGGGGGTGGCGGGCGGGTGCAGGGAGGACACGGGGGGCGTCCTTCTCTCCGCGAGCCCCGCCAGATGTTGCAAAGGCAAACAATAGGGGAGACTCGGAGAAACAAAAGGCCATTCGTCACGATCTCCACGGGCTCTGTGGCGTGGTCCCTACGGGGAGGACGTCTGGGAGGCGGTCTGGAAGATGGGTGAAGGGGGGAGCCAGAGGCGATTGGGGGTTCCCGGTACTCACTTGCCAGGCACCGGGGGTCGGCCCTTTCCATTCCGAGAGGGGTCCCGAGGCAAGGAGGATCATCAAAGGAAAGTTGAGGGCTTTTCACCTTCCTCGGCGCGGGGGAAGGGAGGGGCTGGATTCCAGATGTTTGACAGTTGTTGGCCCAAGGGGTCTGCAGGGTTTCGTCCGTTCTTTCCCCACCCGCACCCTCCCCGGAGCTCGGACGGCGCCGGGGTCGAGCGGGCCGGCGGAGCGGGCTTCCTTCCCCCGCTCAGCCCGCGTGGAGCCTCCGCACACGCCCCGAGCGCCGAGCTCCGGCCCAGGCGCACTTGCGCGAAAGTTTGTCTTCCCGCCCCCCCGCGGCCTGACACGCACGCTGCAGCCCCCCGCGCTTCGGCGTGGCTCCGGGACGCACTTGTGCCCCGCAGGGAGACCGAGGTTACAGAGTCTGCACAGTCAAGGCCCCGGAGCCCGGGCTGGGGACTGGACTCCCGTTCCCGCCCGGGAAGGGCGCGCGAGGGGCCCGCAGGGGCCTCGACGTGGGGCGGGGGTCTGACGCGGATCCCGGCCGCGGAGCCGCCCACCCCCGGTCCCGCTGCGCCCGCCCCCAGGTGCGCCCCGCACCCCAGCCCGCCCGGGCGCCACCGGGGCGAGCAGCTGCCGGGCGGCGCCACCTTGCCTCTCCCGGCGGGGGCTCTCACTCACCGTGGGCTTTTACCTTCAGCCCGCGGCCGGGTCGGCTCCGTGCGCCGGGCGGGTCAATAGCAGGCGGCGCCAGAGGAGGAGGGTGAGCCGGGGGCCAGACGGGCGACGCTGGCGGATCCACGCGGCGGGCAAGGGGCGAGCGGCGAGGGGCCAGCGCGCGCGGTCTCCAGGAGCGCGCGGGCGAGCGAGCTCGGGGCTCGAGCTCCAGCAGCTGCTCCCAAGTAGCCCCCACAGGCGCCCCGCGTGCGGCTGTGCGCGGGGACGCCGAGAGGGGACCCCTGGCGGCCGCCCGCGGAATGGCAGCTCCGTGGGGGAGAGCAGTCAGGTCGCCTGGAGGCTCAACTTGCCTCCTTCAGAGGTGGGGAGTGGTCGGGCTAAGCGGGCTCCCCACCTTGGGGAAAAGAGGGTGGTCTTCTCACCAGGGCGACAAGGGAGATACCGGATCAGAAAGGACGCGTTCACGGTCCACAACGGCCAAGGCACCTATAAAGGGGGAATCACCTTCTCCAACATTCTCTGACTTGTTGAAAAATACTGACAGAGGGGAGCATTAATCGTTGGAAAATACTCTGAGATTGTGGCAGATTTACTAGAACAAACTGGGAGTAGTGGGATGAGCATAGACTTTGAAGCCCAGTCACCCCTGAGACTTTCTACTGTGTGATCTTGATCTGTGATCTCTAAACTTCAGTATTCTTCTCTGTAAATTGGGAAAGCAATATCTACCTTGCAGGGTGGTCTTAAGGGTAAAGTAAACATAGAAAGTATTCTTAATAGTAGGAGTCATTAAAGATAAGCTTCCTAGAGAAAATAATGTTTTATGGGGCGCCTGGGTGGCTTAGTCGGTTGGGCGTCAGACTTCAGCTCAGGTCAAGATCTTGAAGTTTATGAGTTCAAGCCCCGAGCAGCGGACCTGTGCTGGCAGCTCAGAGCCTGGAACCTGCTTCAGATGGTCTCACTCTCTTTCTACCCCTCCCCCACTTGTGCTCTTTCTGTCTCTGAAAAATAAATAAATGTAAAAAGAAAATAATGTCTTCCACATCTTTTATACCTGTTGAATACATATTGATTAAGGAGTACCAAATGTTGAAAAGTACCAAATTTTACAATTCTGATTATACACTTTAAAGACGTATGGAACTATATTAATTAGAAATTAGGATACGTGAAGAAAACATCTTTCCCCCAAAAGTGGTTTCCATGATCACTAAATGAGAACCTCGAAAATCACACACATCTTCTGCAATATCCAGTCATTTCTGTAAAATTGAAATATTGTAAGAAATATTCAATAGTCAAATTGTGATGGTCTAACGATATCAGGATTAAATGATTCCATTTAATTCTGTGTCACTTGGGCAGTGCAAAGATGTTGGAGATTGTAAACATAAAACTCAAACATGGTGGGGGGGAGGGAAATGGTTAGATACAAATATACAGCCACTAAGCAATGATTCTGTTCATCATTGAGTAATGCAATTTCATTTCCAAACTGCCTCAAACCCTAGTCACTGGTTTTAAAGCTCCTTTTGTCCTTTTGGCCTCATGGCAATTGGAAAGCTCTT